GTGCTATTGATTTAAAATATGTTTGGTCCGATAAGCTGTTAGAAGTTATCATGAAATTCAAGCTTGGATGTTTCTGGACAATTATTAAGATCTATCTCTATATTTTGCTTATCATCATGAAGGTTGCCCATGCCATAGAGTTGTTGACTGTTGGGATTGACCATGCAGAAATATGTTGTTAACTTTTTTAACGTAAGATATAATGGATTTTCATATAAACTGATGATTTATTTGGATATGAAACTAGAGATCGGGTTTGCATTGCCATGGATGGGGCCTTTTCAAGTGGCATGCCAATTGGAGTAAGACCTCATGAAGCAAAATATCTGTGCAAGAAATGACAGGACAATACTAGCTCTGCATCATTGTTTTCCCATATAAACTGGATTTATCTCTTTGAATTTAAGCGCCTCATTGTGACGAAGAGTTTTGAAGAATGTGTAAGATTAGAAACAAAATATCTTAGATATTATTGTTTATTATAGTTAATAATGTTGAACTACATTATATTTTACGTTAATGTAAACTTTGATTTATTATTATGGATTTCATTTTTCTTGTTATGGATTTTAAGTTTGTTGTTATGGATGTCAAGTTTATTGGAAAATGCTACAGGTTAAATTTGGGTAATAAAAGAGTAGAAAACAACATTTGACAAATTAGTTTTAATTTGCAAAATCAATTTCTTTTAGCTATAGAGAGGTAATTAGCGGCGTTTGTATCTTAAAATGCCGCTATAGATATGACATTTTGCGGTGTTTATTCTAAAAAGCGCCGTTATATACCAGATCTTTTGTGGTGTTTGTGGGAAAAACGCCGCTAAATCTCAAGACCTATTGCGGCGTTTGTGGGAAAAACGCCGCTAAATATCAACACCTATTACGGCGTTTGTGGGAAAAACGCCGCTAAATCTCAACACCTATTACGGCGTTCGTTGGAAAAATGCCGCCAAATATCAACACCTATTGCGGCGTTTTTTGTTACCAAACGCCGCGAACTTTAGCGACGCTATTTGCAGCGGCGCTTTTTGCGGCGTTTGTCATAGCGCCGCAGGTGTTTTTTGCGGCGCTTAAAAACACCACTATAGGTAAAAAACGTCGCAAATGTACAGTTTTGCTGTAGTGTAATTTAATAATTGTGCTTTTCAGTTCTTCTTAGGGGATATATGAAGTGAATAATACTGAGTCTGGAGCCTCCAAGGCCGTTAGGACTGTGGGATATGTGGAGTGCCAAAAGAACTATGCGGCGGCCGCCTGAAGCATAAGGAATTTCCATCGAAAGGTTGAAAGCTAAAGTACTTATAAGTGTTTGACTTGTCAATTAATCAAGGTCGAGCACCATGTCCTCTCTAGATTGTTTCAACCAATTGTATTGTCTTAGTGAAAGTGGGAATGGATAATAATGGATTTTATTTCCGTTTTATCTCTGACATCGAGGGAGGTTGACATGGTATGAGTGATTGTTGATCGTTTCACTAAATTTACTCACTTCATTCCAGTTCGAACTTATTCAGGTGTCAAAAGTTTAGTCGAACTATCTGTTCGAGAGGTTGTGAGACTTACGATGTCCTAGTCTTGATCATTACTAATTGAGGTCCTTGATTTGCATCTCGATTCTAGAAATCATTATAAGAATCTTTAGGAATCCGAAACAATCTTAATATCATTTTCAATCTTAGAATTGATCTTTCATTCAAATGGCTCCTTTCGAAGGTCTATATGATCTTGAGTGTAAAACTCCTCTCCATTGGTTTGAATTGGGTGAGAAAGATCTCTTGATCCTAATTTGATCAAAAAATCCAAGGAAAATATTAAAATGATTCGAAATTATTTGAAAGCTTCCTTTGATAATTAAAAGTCATATGTAGATCTCAAGTGTAAAGATACTAAATTTGAGATTGGTGATAAAGTGTTTCTCAAAATCTCTTCTTAAAAGAGAATCCTTCAATTTGATGAGGGGGAAAAATTAGTCCTCAATTCGTTAGCTCATACAATTCATTAGCTCATTCAAGATATTAGAACGAATTGATTTCGTACCTTATTGATTGCCTCTATCTATGGACTAAGCAAATTCTTCTCATGAAAGTTCTTTAGAAAAATCACAAGTTTGAAGAGGCAAGAGAGCTTGATAATCGTATAAGAGGTTGTTGAGTTAATCGATTGACGAATATGGCCAAGAGGGGGGTGAATTGGCAATTAAAATTTTGGTTGAAGTTTTTGCAGAAAATTGAAAGAAATTTGCACAGCGATTTAGAGTGGTTCGACTTTCTCAACCAAAGTCTACATCCACTACCTTAGCTATCCACACTAAGGATTTTCCACAAATTCACTAATTTGTCTTTCTTTTGAGGACAAAGAGTAACCTTACAAACCCTCAAGAATTATACCCCAAATTCTTGAGAACACTCTCTCCCAAAGAGAACAATACAAATTTGCAAACTTACAAGGAAATCCTCACAAGGTAGATTGTTTGCACAATTCTAGAACAAAGAAAAGAATACTCAAGAATGAATACAATTGAGCACAATAAGTGTTCTTGAAAGCAAAATGAATATTGAATGAAAGATAGGCTTGAAATGCTCAAACTTAAGGTTTGATGCTTTCTCTTTGATTCTCTATTGATTCTAGTTGCTTGATGTTTCTTGTTCTTGATCAATGGCTTCTAAGCTTGCTTAAATACACCTTGAATCACTTCTGAACATTGAGGATCATTAATGAAGTTATTGTAGCCGTTTAAGTGTGAAAACAATTAATATTTCTGCTTGGAGCGTGGGGGGAATCGGTTCCCTAAGTGTAAAATTCAAATATTTCGACCGTTGAACAGTGGGGGGAATCGGTTCCCTCCGAGCATACTGGAATTCTCTGAGCCAAACCATTCAGGGGGAATCGGTTCCCTCTGAGCAATCTGGAATTTTTGGCTTTGAAATGGTTCGAAATATTTTGTAATATCGTTTTGAAATTATTTTAAGATTAAAACTTAATTTTACACTTGAGTAAGGATTTAAAATGAACTTTGAAATACTTTGAGTAATATTTTGATATTCGATTTAATATATCGAATATGCTTAGAAAAAATCTTTTTCAAAATTAAAATTCTTTTAATTTAATTTGTTATATCAAAACATCAAAATGTTTCCAACAGAGGTCACTATCTGTAATAGTATACTTCAGGTAAATTTTGAGAATGAATTTTATTAAGAGAATTGTAACATATTTAAATTTTGAACTGTAAATTAATTAAGTTTGATTGTTAAGATCTTTTTATTAATTTAAATTTCAAGATTTATAAGTTATAATTTTGGTTCGTCAAATTGATTGATCATCATTTAATGTATTTTGGTAGTTGGCTTGCTATAAACTCTCGTAATTTCTCCAACTCTAGGAACTATACTTACGAAATCTCTTGTAACTTCTGTCCGTTGAAGTGTTTTTTTTTATACAAAAGAATTCATATTTAATAACAAAACTATTTTTAATATATTATTTTGAATAATAAATCAGACCATTAAATTTATATAAAATATTATTCCGAACCACGACCCGGTAATGCTATTATCTTTATTCTTCATCATTGTATAGTTGGCAAACTCTACATAATTAATTATAGGGTAGGGGTAAATTCTGTGTTGGACCTACTTAAGCTGCAATGTTGAAGAAATGTTCAAAAACTATGGAATGGAATAATTTACCTTAATTATTTTGTGATTGACTCCAAATTTTCAAGCCCAAGTAGACCCTAGTTTGAATTTGACGCCTTATTAATTTTTAAAGCAATTGATTTTATATAATAACTCAATATTATATCACTTAATATAAAAAATAAAATTAATAAAATTAATTTTAATAGAATGACCGGTTTGGGATTTTAACCCTGGTTCGCATTTAATTTTTATTTTTTATCTTTGTGATTGACGACGACCCAATCTTAGTGTCGGTCGTCGACCGTCGGTATTCATTATTTTTTCATTATTTTAATATGTTATATCTTTATTTTTTCTTATTTTTTAATTTTTAATAATCTCGGCTTTATGGCACATTTTTCTTTGCCTTTATAGGACATTTTCCTATGCCTTTTGACACATATTCGGTCGTTTGACCGTTATTTTCATTTATCATTTTTCTCACAGTTGAATTTGACATCGCCATGACTGATCAAGATGACATTTACTTATTATCATGTTGATATTTCCTGCTTTGGACCCTCGAATTCGATTTGGATTTGGATACACAATTTACATTCGTGGATAGTTTTCTCACGTCGTTCGATTTTGATTTGTGATTTTTTGGTGGTCTTTCAATAGCTTGATACATTTTTGTGGTTCGTTTATCGTTGCGATCAGATCTGTTCGTATATACATTTTATTCGAGTTTATTTGTGTTAAGAGTCTAAGCCCAATTGAAAATATTACTTCATGTATTTCATCATAATAACAATGTTTACATAATGTACCATTTATATAATACAAACTAATAACAATAATATGTAACTAACTAACTCATTATTAACTATTATAACTAATTATAAAGTGACTAGCTACATATTATCTCAACACTCCCCCTTAAGTTGGTAGCTGGAAAACATCTTTCAGTCCCAACTTTCTCATCAAATAGTTATGTTGATGTCTACCCAATGCTTTTGTAAAAATATCAACAACATGTTATGTTGTTGCCACATATTCTGTTTGAATTAATTTTGCTTGAAGCTTCTCTCTAACAAAGTGACAGTCAATATCCATGTTTTTTTTCTTTCACGGAAAATCGAATTGACTGTTATATGTATAGCTTATTTATTGTCACTAAAAAGCTTAACTAGTATTGTGTGCTTCATTCCCAATTTTTCTAGTAAACCAGTTAACCAAACAATTTCTGCTACTATCACTGGCATGCTCTTATACTCAGCCTCTACTAATGATCTGGCAATAATGCTTTGTTTCTTTGATTTCCAAGAAATCAAAGAACTTCCCAGCTTAACACAAAAACCAGTAATAGATCTTCTTGACATTACAAAGAAGCCCAATCAGAATCACAAAATGCTACTAAGTTTGTTTCTTGTACTGCTTCAAACATTAAACCTTGTCCAGATAAATTAGCACTCTTAGATTTTGTTGTATCAGAATCACAAAATGCTATTGTCTTTGGTTGCTGCATGAATTGACTTAGATGTTTAACAACAAAGGTAATATCTGATCGAGTGTGAGTCTGATACAATAACCTGCCTATTAACCTTTGATAAACTGATATGTCTTTCAAAACTAGATCACTTGAATCTTGTTGTTCCTCTTCATCATGCTCCATAGTTGAAATAAGCTTCAAGTTCTGCTCTAAAGGTGTTAAAGTAAGCTTAGCACCTCCTAATCTAGCATCCTCAATGAGTTCTATAGTATATTTCCTCTGATTTATCAAGATCCCCTCCTTAGACCTTAAAATTTCAAAACCAAGAAAATATTTCAAATTTCCCAAATCCTTCATCTTAAAACTCTTTTTCAAAATTTCCTTCAACTCTACAATTAACTCCTCACTATTCCCAATGATCAATAAATCATCCTCATAAATCAATAGCATAACAATGATTTCACATTTTCTTTTAGTGAAAATTGAATAATCAAACTTGCTATGTTGAAAATCAACACTTAACAAGGCTTCAGTCAACTTCATATTTCACTGTCTAGATGCATGCTTTAAACCATCGATAAATTTATGTTGCTGAAACCCTGAGGCAACTCCATATAAACCTCCTTCACTAAATCACCTTGCAGAAAGGCATTATAGACATTCATCTAGTAGAGAGGCTAATCAAAAGACGCAACAAGAGCCAGCAATGTTTTGACAGTGACCAACTTGACCACAGGAGAGAAGGTTTTTGTATAATCAATACCTTTCTGTTGATTATAACCTTTAGCCACTAAACGTACTTTATACATTTCAACGGCACCAAAGGCCTTATATTTCACCCTATAAACCCACTTGCAGCCAATAGAGGTCTTTCCAGAAGGCAAAGGCACAACAGAAGATGTCTAATTAGATTCAAGGGCTTGAATCTCTTCTTGCATAGCTTGAATCCATACAAGATTTGTTATGGCTTGAGAAAAGGTTTTAGGTTCCACAATAGTAGATGTAGAAGAAAGAAATACTTGAGTGTGAGTAGGAAAATGACTATAAGAAATGTTATCAGTAATAGGATATTTACTGGAAGATGCAGGAGATTGGCAAGAACACACATAGTCTTGTAACCATTGTGGTTGCTTATATACTATAGTAGATTTCCTAGAAATAACCTGGGAAGTAGGAATATGATCTAAATAAAGACTGTATGACAGGAGAGAAAGAGTGACTAGAAGATTGTGTAGAAGAATGTCATGAAGCTGAAGATAAAGAATGATCAAAATAAGAATTATCACAAGGGACTGATTGACCAGAAAAGGAATATGAAGTAGGATTTTGAACTAAAACTTCAAAATCTAAAACTGCAGACTGAACATGAAAAAAACTAGAAGCTGAATTTTAAGGAAATTTAAAAGGAAATATAGATTCATGAAAGACAACATCCCTGTTCACAAAAAAAAGTTTTTTATGAAGATTAAAGAGAAGATAGCCCTTTTGAGCTGTGGAGTATCCCATGAAAACAACAGGAATAGCCCAAGGAGAAAATTTGTCAAAAACATTAAGAGAAGTGGCATAACACAAGCAATCAAAAAGTTTAAGATGTGAAAAACCAGAGCCTTTATTATAAAGAACATAGAATGGAGTCTTCCATTGAAGAATAGAAGAAGGTAATTTGTTAAGAATATAACCAGCAGTTTGAATACAGTCCCCCCAAAATTTAACAAGAACTTGAGAATAGAATTTGAGAGTCATATCAATTTCTAACAAGTTCCTATGTTTCTTTCCAGCCACCCTATTTTGTTGTGGTATGGAGACACAACTACTTTGATGAATTATTTCCATAGAAGAAAAAAGAGAAGAACAATGTTCATTAAAAAAATCAGTCCTAATCTTATGAATTTAACAGAGGTAATAGAGAAATGATTTTGGACAAAGACAAAGAATTTCTTTAAATGAAGAATAACATCAGATTTCAATCTTAACAAATAAACCCATGCCATTATGCAATAATCATCCACGACAGTGTGAAAAAAATTGTGACCATTATGGGTTGAAGCCCTATAAAGGCCACACAAATCAGGATGAACCAACTCAAAAGGAGAGGAAAACTAGTCTGACTCAACAGAAAAAGAATCCTAGTCTGCCTAGCCAAAGGATAAATGTAACAAGGAACAGACTTAACAAATGAATTTTTATCTAAATATAAACAAGAAAGCATAAAAGTATTTGACAAAGGGGCATGGCCCAATCGAGTATGTCATACATCACTTTTATTATGAGCAGAAATAGAAGACATACAAGAAGAATTTTCAAGAAATGAATTTGCAAACAACAAAACATCATTTGTAGATGACAAACCAGAAGACTGAAGGACATATAAACCACCTGACCTCTTACCAAACCCCTTAATCCTTCCATTTGAGGGATCTTAAAAAAAGCAAAAATCAAGATAAAAAAGAACTGTACAATTTATGTCTTAAGTTAATTTTGGAGATTGACAGAAAATTGTGGTTAATTTCAGGAACAAATAGGACATTTTGTAAAAAAATCAAGAGTGATACATGTATCACAAGTTTCACGTCAAAGGAAGAAGTAATAACTCTTCCAAATGATCCACTCGTCCAAGCCTTGGAAAAGAAGACTAGAACAACAACAGACTTGTGATGACTTTTTGAATGGTATCCTGATCTTATTTTTCCAGCATGTCTTCTGAAGATACAACCTTCTGTATCTTATCTTTCCAACGGTTCTTGAATCGTATCAATCCGATATCGGGAACTCAAGATACATTCATTTTGCTGAAGACAGCACATGCAGAAATTCCTATATGAGATTAATACGTGATTTTTGTAAATATTACGAATTTTCAATATTTATATTGATTATTTTTAATATAATTTTATATAGGATGATGCATTATCTTTTAGGATTAGATTTATTATTTTATTAGGAATTAAGGTTGAGTTAAAACATTATTTTTAGTTATTACTATTCTATTAGGAATTAGAGTTAAGACATGTTTAACTTGGTATTATTTTATTCATTAGTTATTTAGGACCTTTAGAACTCAGACCCTATATAAAGGAAGTTTCATTCAACTTTTTAAATCAGATTTCTTTCATTAATAATACAACTAGAGTTCATTTTTTGCAAGTGTTGATTGTCTTGTACCTTCGAAGCTTCTTCTCCTGGAGTTCTTTCAAGTTTTTGTGAGGGAGATTAATATTCACACTCCAATTTGCCTTTTCATTATGACTAGGAGGGTTGGTTAGAGTCATATTATCGAGTTTGTCTTTTCATTGCGACTATGAGGGTTCGATAGAACACTTAGAGCCATATTATCGAGTTTGCCTTTTCATTGCGACTAGGAGGGTTAGATAGGAAACTTATCCATCTATTTTCCAAAAATTCATCCTCACCATCATCATCTTTAACGTTTACCTTCATAAGGGAGCCATCTTCTACTATTCATCCCCCTTTGTTCTTCATCGGGTCTAGAGCTTTCTAGGTTTGATTCTTCAACAATAGCAACATTCATTAATCCGCCACCCCTTCCCTATCAATCGGTATCATATTTGGACCGATTCTTGGAAAAAGCAAGCATTCTTGCTTGTTCTTGCATACAAAACCGTCAAGGTACCCCAACGGAGCTAGTTCGCAAAAGATTCATTGTTTCAAGTCACAAAAATATTTTGCATACTTCTTTCTTATTTGCATTCTCGTTCTCTTAGAGTCTAACCATTGTTTGGCCTCATAGAGCTTTTAAGTTTTTCTTATCGCCTTTGCTAGTAATCAAACTCTGATACGAATTGTGGAAAACTACTTGGTAAAGTGAGTTTTAAAGAGTACAAGATCGGCTTACTTGCCTCTCGCTGTGTTACTTTCTTGGAGTGACTTGTGAGGTTTCTTGCTTTGTTGAATTTTCTTTCTTTTATTTTTATTTTACTTTAAAATTTTCTTTTGAGTGTTATGATTTCAGGATGGGCGACAATAACAACAAGACACTTACGGCTATCTTAGCTGCACTTTCCCGACTCACGACTCAAATTGAAAGATTTGATGAACTTAACAATACCGTGAGAGAAAGACAAGAATCGCAACTGGATCTACCAAACCAGAATCCAAGACCAAACAATGTTGAACTTTTGGTACCCAGGCGAGAACAACCACGTTTCCAAGAACCCAAACTCTTTGCAAAACCAAAGTTCACGATCTCATCTTTCAAAGGAGACAATAATCCAGGCAGGTACATCGATTGGGAAGGAAAAGTTGATCTCATGTTCGCATACCATGACTGCCCCCAAGCTAAACAAGTTCCCTTCGTCACCATCCAATTCGAAAGATATGCTCGAACTTGGTGGATGAAAAGAAGGAAAAAGATCGAGAACTTCCAAATTCAAGCAATCACTTCTTGGATTGACCTCAAACAAACCATGAGGAAGTAATTCCTACCGACACATTATACACGAGAAGTTAAACTACGACTACACCGACTTCGACAAGGTAGAAGTTTAGTTGAAGACTACTACAAGGAGATACAGTCCTTACTTAATAGGGCTAACATAACCGAAGAAGAAAATGACACCGTGTCAAGATTCGTCATCGGCTTGAACTCAAACATCACTGATCTTATTGACCTCTATGGGTATGAAAACCTTGAAGATACACTAAAGGAGGTAATAAAAATTGAACCAAAAATCCAAAGGAGATTTCAATTCAGAGAACCTTACCAAGGTACTTCATCCTCTTACCAAGGTACTTCATCCTCTTACCAAGGTAATCCTTCATCATCTTCTACTCCACCTTCTCAAAAAAAGCCGAGAGATGACAAACCTAACAAGGAGAAATAATGACCAGCAAAGAATGACACACCTCCAGCCCCTAAAGATCAAATGAGCATTTGTGAGGAGGTAGGGAAAGCAAAAAAAGAAAAAGTTGAGAAAGAGGCAAAAACAAAAGAGGTCACTAGTTACAAAAGCCAAAAGAATAATGACCCATGGTAGGTGAGTGAACCTAATTGTGAGAAGAAAAGAGTGACTCAAAATCTATGTGTGAGCACAAAAGAATTGAGAGAGAACCTTTTTTACAAACAGCTTTGCATCCTTGTTCGCTTTAGGTAATCAATTGTTTCGATTTCTACCATTAACAAGGAGTTGCCTAGTGTGTTTTCATCTTTGTTAAAGGATTTTTGAGAAGTGCTAGGTGATCCACCTGAAGGATTACCGCTGGAAAGAGGAAAACAACACCAAACCAATCTAATTCAAGGTTCCATCATATCTCGTCAAACATACATTCTCGAAGAAACCAAAGAGTTAGATTTGTTATAAAAGGTTACATCCAGGAAAACCTTAGTCGTGACAACATCTTAATGGCGAAACATGATTTGAACAACTTCACAAGCTTTATAGTTTGTGCACAGGGCATTCATGTAAATGATGAAAAAGTAAAAGCAACACGAGACTGGCCCCCATATCATTTTCCATCACCAAGAGTTGTCGAATGGTGTTAGGTGACCCTCTTGACGGGTTACCATCTGAAAGCCCTAATCAATA